TTACGTCCATATCATATTGAAACATTGGTTCCCATACGATCATCAAAGTTAAGCCACTTTGAGCTTGATCAGTACCTGGATAGGTGATCGTTTGGAAATAAAATGTTTTTTAAGCTTGCAAGTGCGGGTGATGCAATTGATAACTGCTCAGAATTGGAAATCGGATTGCTAATTTCAATCGGGTTCGTTATATACACTTACGCGCCAATACACTTCTCCCCAGCCATGGGTTAATTAGTAGGATTTTTTTTTATCGGGAACTCATTGCTTTCTCCGAAAAATTATTACAATCTAATAACATTTTCTGGCTTTAAATAAGCTAAAAATTGTTGAATCGTAAAAACAAACAATCAAATCAATGAATCAATCAATTTCATGGAACCTGACGTTAAAGGCATGAGAGTGTTATTGTCTATTCTTTCTTTCTTTTTTTCTCTTTCTTTCTTTCTTTCTTTCTTTTATGCTTCCCTTCGCTTCCCAAAAGCCAAACAGAGACTGATTATCATTCTCTCTCGTCTGTCCTCGCAGACAAAACGGAATGGTCCATTATTTTTCTGAAGCAATGGCAGGTTGTAACGTACTTGCTTTTCAGTGCCGTTTCATCATCGCGCTGGCTGTATACATAGCTATAGACTCCATTCTACTCTATTGTGTTATAAGTCTTGTCTTTAACCCTGTTGATTGTCTTGCCACCCTCCTCACCAGAAAAGCTTGGTAGGGCTAACCAGTCCCGACCATTGGCATGTAGTACTCTACCAGTAGCACTCGTAGAGTGACTGGACATCAAATATTTCATTAAATAGACTAAAACCATTTTTAAGGGGAACTACATGGTATATTATGAAATTATGAGTTATCATTCTGAAGATTGTTCGGATATTTCATTACATCTGTTTTTTATTATACATAGTGTCAGCTTGTTGCCATTTTTACCTTTGTTCTACTGCTTTGTGTAAAGCGGTTTTGTAATCGCTAACTAAAAGAAAAATTACACCGTCAGTGAGGCGGATGCGCGATAGTTGTGACATATATTGTATTTTTCTCGTGAAAGTTACACAAGTGTTTCCTCTTTCGACTCCGGTCTTCGTAATTCTTTTTCGTTCTACGCTGTTTAGGGACGCTTGTTGTATTTTTTTTTAGGAGGCAAGGACATTAATTTTATGTCTCCATTCGATTTACTAGAACGCCCTTTGTCTTTCATGCACACTGAACACTTAGTGAAGGCAGAAGAATGGATCGGCCGAATAATTGTGGTAATCATTCACTCAGGGATGAAGAACAGATCGCGTGTGACGTGTTTAGAGCCGTAAACACGTTACAAAGATTGATTTTTTTTCCGGAAAAATTGATTTGACAGACAACCAGAACATTCCTCTGACACCTAAGCCCATTAATAATTTAAGAGCCCTCCTTAAGCGGGGTGTTGAAAGTTTCCTCTTGAACGCTGAAACAACAGCAAAATTCATCACTGAATAGATTGTGGATAATTGGCAAAAAAATTAATGGCGGCTAGCGTATGTTGTGAAAGTACCTTTGTTCGTTTAATTCGAGTTTGAACTTAGTGAAGGCTTTCGGTGAAAATACAGGGTAAAATATTGATACTACGTTGTAATTAACGAAGTTTAACTAGGCACAATGCCACAGGTAACGGCCACTCAGTGAGGACCGAAATCCCTACTCAGTAGTAATAGTGTTATAGAATAGCTCATTACATTATCCCGAGTGTACATATATACTAAATTTAGTTTAATACTCCATACTCGCGGTTCAGGGACAGCAGCCGAGAAGGTTCGTATAATTGGTAGGCTAGTAATTGTGAGTTCGATTCCTGGGATGGGTAGTAAAGAATCAAACTCTGTAGAAATAGGGCGAGTAACAAACAGTTCTAAAAATAGAACAAGACGAAATAGCAGAAGAAATAGAATATCTTAAAACCGCAGATTAAATAAATATTTCAGTTCGAATATGGCTGAAGTTTATTCGTGTTGAAAACACCGAAAGGAAGCTAGTGAGCACAAAGCTCGGATAATGGAATTAATAATAACAATATAACGATAATAACGGCAAAGATGAAGATATTAGTTTGAATGGAAATAATAACTCCTCCTAGAAATTCAGATAGAAATTAAGCTTAGCTTTGCTTGGTAAAAACCGAAAATACACCCTGTGGATACACGTTGGGGATCGAACTCACTGCACAGTTAGTCCTGGGTATGATGCTAAAATACAGCTGATGGCAAGGCCTTTGATCGGGAAATTGTCGGTTTTGAGTAGCGTCGAGCCACCTCTTAAGTGCTGTTTTTTCCAGGTTCACCCTAACTCGGTGTGGTAGCACATATTAGGGTCCCGTCTCTGAACAAATAGTGACCCCCTCCCCCCTAAACAAAAGTAAAAAGTCTAGGAAAGCATAAAAAATGGATCTCCATAGTAAAAATGCCAGCAATACATCTTTATATAAAAAAATATTTTTTAAAAATTAACCAAAAATACATTTTTGTATTGAAATTACTAGCAATACATTTTTATAAAAAAAAATTAACAACAGTAAATTTTATCGACAAACTATATATTTAAAAAAAATACAATTACTATGAAAGCATAAATCTATGTACAAAGTAAATGCAGTTGAAGCCATAAAACTGTGTTCAAATTATATGTAGCGGAAGCCACAAAATTGCATATAACATATTTAGAATTTGGCATTAAAATAACCCATAAAGGTTGATATACCGCTAATCGAAATCAACCAACGAAACATCAGTAGTTGCTAACCATTCCACCTACGTAGTGTCGCTCTTATATACTATGCTTAGTTTAGTATAGAGCACAAACATAAGGCACCTAGTGAGGAATGAAGTCACTAATCGATAGTAATAGTCAAGAAGACAAGTTCGGGATTTTTTTCTGTTAATACAACCCAAGATATTATTTGATCCCAAAATAAAAAGGATTTATCTCTGCTAAAATTCACACAAAATTCTTCTAGAGCAAGACCCTTCATTACACTCTGGTTGGGTTGATCTTTGCGATCGGCCCAATTGTGAGCGATCCGGGTCCGCTATTTCTGAGTTTGGGCTCTACGTTCGTACTCACTCCGATAAACAAGCCAAAAACAGATATTTTTTCTTCTTTTTTTAAAATTGTATAAAATTTCTTGTATGTATCTCGAATATAACCTGCTTTTACTAAATGTAAATAATTCCATGATTTTTGGTAAGTTTTTCATTCTTTATGTTGGAGTTTATTGCGTGACGAGCTAAACAAATTTTGATTTAAAATTTATAATTTGAAAAGAGTGCGAAAAATTGAATAAAAAACAAACTTTGATTTAAAATTTATAATTTTAGGGGCTAGGGCTGAATTAATATTTGAGATAAGTAACTTAATATTATTTGGGGATGATTAATATTTGCAATAAGTAATTTTATATTATTTGGGGCTGAATTTATATTTGAGATAAGTAACTTTATATTATTTGGGGATGATTAATATTTGCAATAAGTAACTTTATATTATTTGGGGATGAATTTATATTTGAGATAAGTAACTTTATATTATTTGGGGATGATTAATATTTGAGATAAGTAACTTTATATTATTTGGGGATGATTAATATTTGAGATAAGTAACTTTATATTATTTGGGGATGATTAATATTTGCAATAAGTAACTTTATATCATGTGGGGATGATTAATATTTGAAATAAGTAACTTTATATTATTTGTGTCTGAATTAATATTTGCAATGAGTAACTTTATATTATTTGTGGCTGAATTAATATTTGAGATAAGTAACTTTATATTATTTGGGGATGATTAATATTTGCATTAAGCAACTTTATATTATTTGGGGATGAATCAATATTTGCAATAAGTAACTTTATATTATTTGGAGATAATTAAATATTTGAGATAAGTAACTTTATATGATTTGGGGCCGAATTAATATTTGCAATGAGTAACTTTATATTATTTGGGGCTGAATTAATATTTGAGATAAGTAACTTAATATTATTTGGGGATGATTAATATTTCCAATAAGTAACTTTATATTATTTGGGGCTGAATTAATATTTGCAATAAGTAACTTTATATTATTTGGGGCTGAATTAATATTTGAGATAAGTAACTTTATATTATTTGAGGCTGAATTAATATTTGCAATAAGTAACTTTATATTATTTGGGGATGAATTTATATTTGAGATAAGTAACTTTATATTATTTGGGGATGATTAATATTTGAGATAAGTAACTTTATATTATTTGGGGATGATTAATATTTGCAATAAGTAACTTTATATCATGTGGGGATGATTAATATTTGAAATAAGTAACTTTATATTATTTGTGGCTGAATTAATATTTGCAATGATTAACTTTATATTATTTGTGGCTGAATTAATATTTGAGATAAGTAACTTTATATTATTTGGGGATGATTAATATTTGAGATAAGTAACTTTATATTATTTGGGAATGATTAATAATTGAGATAAGTAACTTTATATTATTTGGGGATGAATCAATATTTGCATTAAGCAATTTATATTATTTGGGGATGATTAATATTTGCAATAAGTAACTTTATATTATTTGGGGATGATTAAATATTTGAGATAAGTAACTTTATATGATTTGGGGCTGAATTAATATTTGCAATGAGTAACTTTATATTATTTGGGGCTGAATTAATATTTGCAATAAGTAACTTTATATTATTTGGGGCTGAATTAATATTTGCAATATGTAACTTTATATTATTTGGGGCTGAATTAACAGAAAAGTTCCCAAGATGCGCACAGATTAATTTGCAAAAAAGACGGCGGGTTTTATTATAAGAAAGCCTTTAGGTTTGAGTCATGAAGGATTCTTTGTGTGAAATCAATAAAAAAGTTTTGATAATAGCCTGATTTCCTGTTGTCTTATCAGAAACTCTCTGCGTAAACTTTCTGTCGAAGAGAGGCTTGCCTATATCTTTTATATGTTACTTAATGACACAGGATATTACAGAATGTTAAAGTGTTAAAGGAATGGGCGGAACTGACGTACTTTTAGGCCTGGTTATATGAGCCCCAGTTTCGCTGAGGAGGTCCGAAT